TCACGAACATTAATAACCGATTCCGATATAAAGATTCAAAACTCAATATATTTTCTTAAAGATATTTCTCACATGAAGGTTTGCAAATGACATAGATCCCAGAACACGGGTGAGAGAGGCAAACAGAAGGATAGAAAGAGATAAAATGAAAGAGGCTGTTATCAAGACAGCGGTGGTTCCTCCATGATCAAGAAGGTGATAACGGTAATGCTAATTATGGTAGGGTTGATGATTATGTTTATGATATTTAGAAAACTGATAATGGTGATGATGGTTATGCTCTTGATAATAAATATGATAATAATGTTGATGGTGAGGAGTCTGATGATATTAATAACTACCTTAAGATTGAAATTAATAATAACGATAATAATGATGATGATAATAATAATAATAATAATAATAATAATAATAATAATAATAAAAATAATAATGCTGACGAAGACAATATTCCATAAGTAAAGAATATTGATGATGATGATGATGATGATGATGATGATGATGATGATGTGGATATATCACCATTTGAATTCTCCAGCCCACTATCTTTATTTCTTTGTGTAGATACAAAAATAATATGAAATATTTAATTTCACGGAACTTGAATCTCGATTTGTTTTTTATTCTAACCTCCTGAGTACGATGCTTGCCCCTTGAGTACGTTGCTAGCCCCCTGAGTATGATGCTAGCCTCTGAATACGATGTAAGCCCCTGAATGCGATACCAACCCCTGAGTACGATATCAACCCCCGAGAACGATACCAACCCCGAGTACGATATCAACCCCGAGTACGATATCAACCCCCTAGTACGATACCAACCCCGAGTACGATATCAACCCCCTAGTACGATACCAACCCCGAGTACGATATCTACCCCGAGTACGATATCAACCCCTGAGTACGATACTAACCCCCTGAGTACGACACTAAGCCCCTAGCACGATACCAACCTCTGAGTACGATACCAGCCCCTGAGTATGGTACCAACCCCTGAGTACACCAACCCCCTGAGTACACCAACCCCCTGACTACGATACTAACCCCATGAGTACGATACCAACATCTTGTGTATGATGCAACCCATGAGTACGATACCAACCCCTGAGTACGATAGCAATCTCCTGTGAATGATACCAATACCCTGAGTACGATGCCAACACCCTGAGTACGATACGAACCCCTGAGTGCGATGCCAACCTTCTGAGTACGATGCCAATCCCTTTTAGTACTATACCAACCCTCTGGGTACGATACCAACCCCTTAAGTACAGTTAGGAAACCCCTTGAGTAAAATACGATGGCCTGTTCCCTTGACTAATTGGCATTGTACTCAGAGGGCTAAGTGTTCGTACTCGTGAGGTAAAAATTCATTTCAACATTTTCTGCAGAGATAAATGGACAAATTCGTAGGACAAAAAGATTTACAATGCTCCATTATATATATATATATATATATATATATATATATATATATATATATATATATATATATATATATATATATATATATATATATATATATATATATATATATATATATATATATATATATATATTATTGGAATGCGCAATGACAATCCAAAATACAAAGTAAATACGCAGTTTATATTGTGTTTCAATTCACCTCAAGTAAAATTCATATTACACCATCTACCTCACCTCGTCGTTGTCAAATGTGACAGAATTATAGCCAGCAAAACTTATTTATGGCTAAATTATACAACATTAGAAGAAGAATGAGTCAGATTGCCTATATTGTGTGTGTGGAATATGGCCCATTGTGTAATGATCTACCGTGAACGCTGACAGTGAAGACTGCGTTTGATATCGTAGGTGTGATTAAGAATTAAGTTTCAAAACCACTCTATAAGGAAGCAGAGACTAGACTCACCAATTTTGATGATCTTCCCTCATTAGCAGATAAGGGGTGCGGTGGTTAAGTTGATACAACTCTCTCTTCCTGTAATTGGGGTTGCTGGTTTGCGACCAGGGTATCCCCAGTTCATCTAGCTGTTAATGAGTTACTAACTTTGCAGTTGGGGAAGTGAAGGAAGTCGAGTTCAGCGCCTGTAATACTACTACCACGTGTACCGAAAACGGATTAAATTGTTGTAGACTGTATCCTTACTGCTCCAAATGGGATGTCAAGCTCCTCTCAGTCCCAGACCTCCATAAAATATCATGGTGGGAAGGTATGGAACAACTTACCTCCACCCATCCGAGCAAAGACTTCGCTCCCTTCCTTTAAATCAGGGGTTCTCAACCAGGGGGGAATTTCCCCCCCCTCAGGTTTTCAGGGGGGGGAAAACTGATACTAATATGGAAACAATAAAGGATTTTCAGTATTATATGCATATTATTTGGAATGCACTTTTTGAGGCAGACAATCTTGGAAAGGAGGGGGGAATGACATTCTGACATATGGTGAAAGGAGTGCATGGGGCAAACAAGGTTGAGAACCACTGCTTTAAATCATCTCTAAAAAAATATCTATTGTCGAAGTATTAATATTTCTTGTAATACTTATTATATTTACAGTACCTGCTTTTATTGTACCACCATATCCGTTTTATCGGAAATTATCATGTAAATAAATAAGTAATTACCATTGCAATACACATAATTGCCAACTAGACATAATCCTGAAAGCTCTGACCTCTTGTTCAACCTTATTACTGCACAACCCAGGTTATACTGCTCCCCCATTATACTTATGTTTTTAAATTCCACTCATATTTATATGTATATGTGTATGTGTATGTATGTGTGTGTATATGTGTATATATATATATATATATATATATATATATATATATATATATATATATATATATATATATATATATATATATATATATATATATATATATATATATATATATATATATATATATATATGTATATATGTGTATATATGTGTATATATGTATAGGTATGTGTATATGTATGTATAAATAAATAAAAAAATAAAAAAATAAAAAAATAGAAATAATAAATAATAAAATAAATAAATATTGAAGTGATAACCGTGGTAACATTATGAGATGTACTTATTACCACCATGCTATTGTACTTTTCCAGATGTTACTAAATGTTACTAATACTTCCTTGAGATAGATGTATAGTATATATCAGGTGCCTCAAAGAGAGCTCAGGTTCTCAACTGGCTCAGCCATGTTAATATTGTTATTATTATCCACTCTGTATCTGTATTTTTCTGGCTAAATAAACTGTTACAACAACTGTTACAACAACTTTCAGGAACCGATAAAGTCTGGTTTTATAGTACAGTAATAACATATTGACTGACAATTTAAAACTTTTAAAAAGTTGGCAGTAGAAAGTTCCAGGTATTATATCAATTAGAATTAACTAAGATTCCAGCAGGTAAGATCACTACTGGACTACTGGAGTGCACAGACTATTTAAAAAAGAAATTCAATAAGGTAACCTTAATCAACAGAGAGAGAGAGTGGTTTATTTTTTTATTCATTTTTTATTTATTTTTTTATTTCACAATGTAACAGGAAGGCTGGAATAGAGTAATAAGGTTTGAACCAAATATTTAACGTTTAATCAGTGGAAGGAAGCCTTGAACTAAATAGCAAATTATTAACTACCACACTAAGATTATATCAGCAGCTGAAAGACTTAGACTAAGAGGACTTTAATACGTCGACATATACGAAGACTTCATAGAGGGAGTCCAGCATCCTGTGTCCCTCAACGATACAGGAACATGATCTAATAAATGTCAACCAGAATAATGAAATTTGTGAATACATACATACATATACCTATATACATATATACATACATAAAAATCTCAGGAATTTTCATATATGTCTTCATAACCTGCAACAAATACAGCCAAGCTTAAACATATCTCAAGCTGTGGGTCTTTATGATTGTCAGTAATCTTTACAAGAGATCATCAATATTTGAGAGTAAACTGCAATGGGATCGTCAGGTACTACATAAATAATATAAATTAATATATTCATACTGTGTGTGTGTGTGTGTGTGTGTGTGTGTGTGTGTGTGTGTGTGTGTGTGTGTGTGCGCGCGCGCATCACCTAGGTGGTATCTGAGCTTACCATCTGTCTGTGAGATGAAGGTGAGTGCCATCATGACTAATTAACTACAGCCTAAATTGTCAGTCTCTATAACATCTAGACAGTTATGGGCATAATTATGTGAGTTACCACCTGTTGGCTGCTTGTCATATAGAGCGTACAAGCTCACTTCCTTCCAAGAGCATCCTCATGAACCATTCCATGAGTGTGTTCACCCACCAACACCACCTTCACCTGCATTACTGATAAATCTGGAGTGTTCAACATCGCCCCCATATTACGCTCTTTCACCATATGACAATTCAGCTTAACACCTGTGCAACTTTCACAGTTTTGCCTGACCATTGTGTAAACAAAACTGATTGCAGTGTAAAGTGTTCATAGCCACACGAAATAAATTCTCAGTCAGGTATTTGTGACGGAGACAGTCACAAATGTGTTTCCTTGAGACGAACACAGCCACTACAGTAACGTGTTGTCGAGGAGTGTCGGTGTGGGAGTGTCGTGGGACAGTTCGTCAGGGCCCAGCTCCTGGGAGACTGGGAGGCGTCAAGCACAAACTGGGTGGAGCGGTCCTGCTGGGTGTGGCCTTGCGCTTCTCACGCTAGAAGCTCCGTTAATGCCATTGATTGTACAATTTTATCTAAACTAAAAACTGTGATATACTTTTATATAAACATATTTTCCCCTAAGAATCAATAGAGTTTTGTTTTTCTAATGATGCGTTATATTGTGCAACTGCAAATAATAGTAATCCGGATGGTCAGTTCGGAAGACAAAGAAGAAGCTATTGGTGAAATTTGATAACCTTCAGACAGTCGCCAAGATGAGCAGGCAAGCACTGGCCGATAGTAAGAAAAATATCCTGTGTGCAGCATCCAATCACAGGCCCAGGATCACGTGATCACCTCGCTGGAGCGGTATATATACAGCTCTGCTCACCAAGATTTTGTCACAGCCATCCAGCTTGCAGAAGTCTCTTGAGGAGTTCGGCTCTCACCATATTATACTCAATCAACATGAAGTTACTGGTAAGTGGCCACCTATTGTAATGGTCCTTTGAACAATAGCAATGTACTTAGAGTAAATCTTTTATGGATAGATATTTAAATTCATTAACAATGTGTTTTACCTACAGGCAACTATCTGTATGCTCGCTGTCGGCGTCAGCGCACAGGTTGGGTACTCCGGGATCGTGAGTCCCACTGGTGCCAATACTCAGTTTTCTCACGAATTCGCTGCTAACATCGTTTTGATTGGACCTTCTGGCATTGTCACCGCTAATGGAGAAAACCGACAATTGACTGCCGGTGAGGCTCAACTTCACGCCGGCGCCCACCCAGTGCCTGTACCTCATTATGTGGCCCAAAATTTTGTATACGGTCCTTCTGGCTACATCACACCCACAGGACAGAACGTTCAGTACACCCATGAGCAAGCCGCTAACATTGTTCTGACAGGACCCTCAGGTATTGTCTCCAGAGATGGCCAAAACATTCAGTTCCCCGGCTAGTTTGTTTCCCGCAAGAAGCGTGCCGTTATTGGTCCCTCAAGCATGATTTTGGCTGATGGCACTCCCATCCAGTTCAGCAAGCCAGGTGTCATCATCATGCTGGAAGGACCACCCTCTGGCTACATCCTCAGTGACGTGCGGCACCCCGTTCAGAAGAGGAGCTAGGAGGCAAGATTTACACTACCTGACCCAAAACTCTCTCAATGACTGTCTCGTCTGCGGGCAACATGGTTATGTCATTTGTATATTTCTTTTGATTATATGCAATGGTGAGGCATTATTTCTTATGTACTGTACATTAGTAAAAGTTAGGTCAATAAAAATTAATGCCATTGTGAAGATAATTTGTATTCTCATTACATCTCCTCACAATTATTTCTTATTAAACCCAGTTTCCATGAAACAATGAGCAAATACAAAAATAAAATATCCCAATCTACGTAGCAGATACTACCAATTATATATTTGAATGACTGTGCTGTACATTATGACTGGTGAACATTGTATATATCTCATATGTAAGAACAAAATATAATCTCATTTATACAATGAAATTTACATTTTGCGTTTGATATCGTAGGTGTGATTAAGAATTAAGTTTCAAAACCACTCTATAAGGAAGCAGAGACTAGACTCACCAATTTTGATGACCTTCCCTCATTAGCAGATAAGGGGTGCGGTGGTTAAGTTGATACAACTCTCTCTTCCTGTAATTGGGGTTGCTGGTTTGCGACCAGGGTATCCCCAGACCCCAGTTCATCCAGCTGTTAATGAGTTACTAACTTTGCAGTTGGGGAAGTGAAGGAAGTCGAGTTCAGCGCCTGTAATACTACTACCACGTGTACCGAAATAGGATAAAATTGTTGTAGACTGTATCCGTACTGCTCCAAATGGGATGTCAGGCTCCTCTCAGTCCCAGACCTCCATAAAATATCATGGTGGGAAGGTATGGAACAACTTACCTCCACCCATCCGATCAAAGACTTCGCTCCCTTCCTTTAAATCATCTCTAAAAAAATATCTATTGTCGAAGTATTAATATTTCTTGTAACACTTACTATATTTACAGTACCTGCTTTTATTGTACCACCATATCCGTTTTATCGGAAATTATCATGTAAATAAATAAGTAATTACCATCGCAACACACATAATTGCCAACTAGACATAATCCTGAAAGCTCTGACCTCTTGTTCAACCTTATTACTGCACAACCCAGGTTATACTGCTCCCCCATTATACTTATGTTTTTAAATTCCACTCATATTTATATGTATATGTGTATGTGTATGTATGTGTGTGTATATGTATATATATTTTTATATATATATATATATATATATATATATATATATATATATATATATATTATAATTCAAGACATCTTATTGTGGATTTACATGAAATATATATATATATATATATATATATATATATATATATATATATATATATATATATATATATATATATATATATATATATATATATATATATATAATATATATATATATATATATATATATATATATATATATATATATATATATATATATATATATATATATATATATATATGTATATATGTGTATATATGTATAGGTATGTGTATATGTATGTATAAAAAAATAAAAAAATAAAAATAATAAATAATAAAATAAATAAATATTGAAGTGATAACCGTGGTAACATTATGAGATGAACTTATTCCCACCATGCTATTGTACTTTTCCAGATGATACTAAATGTTACTAATACTTCCTTGAGATAGATGTATAGTATATATCAGGTGCCTCAAAGAGAGCTCATGTTCTCAACTGGCTCAGCCATGTTAATATTGTTATTATTATCCACTCTGTATCTGTATTTTTCTGGCTAAATAAACTGTTACAACAACTGTTACAACAACTTTCAGGAACCGATAAAGTCTGGTTTTATAGTACAGTAATAACATATTGACTGACAATTTAAAACTTTTAAAAAGTTGGCAGTAGAAAGTTCCAGGTATTATATCAATTAGAATTAACTAAGACACCAGCAGGTAAGATCACTACTGGAGTGCACAGACTATTTAAAAAAGAAATTCAATAAGGTAACCTTAATCTACAGAGAGAGAGAGGGGTTTATTTTTTTATTCATTTTTTATTTTATTTTTTTTTTCACAATGTAACAGGAAGGCTGGAATAGAGTAATAAGGTTTGAACCAAATATTTAACGTTTAATCAGTGGGAGGAAGCCTTGAACTAAATAGCAAATTATTAACTACCACACTAAGATTATATCAGCAGCTGAAAGACTTAGACTAAGAGGACTTTAATACGTCGACATATACGAAGACTTCATAGAGGGAGTCCAGCATCCTGTGTCCCTCAACGATACAGGAACATGATCTAATAAATGTCAACCAGAGTAATGAAATTTTTGAATACATACATACATATACCTGTATACATATATACATACATAAAAATCTCAGGAATTTTCATATATGTCTTCATAACCTGCAACAAATACAGCCAAGCTTAAACATATCTCAAGCTGTGGGTGTTTATGATTGTCAGTAATCTTTACAAGAGATCATCAATATTTGAGAGTAAACTGCAATGGGATCGTCAGGTACTACATAAATAATATAAATTAATATATTCATACTGTGTGTGTGTGTGTGTGTGTGTGTGTGTGTGTGTGTGCGCGCGCGCGCATCACCTAGGTGGTATCTGAGCTTACCATCTGTCTGTGAGATGAAGGTGAGTGCCATCATGACTGATTAACTACAGCCTAAATTGTCAGTCTCTATAACATCTAGACAGTCATGGGCATAATTATGTGAGTTACCACCTGTTGGCTGCTTGTCATATAGAGCGTACAAGCTCACTTCCTTCCAAGAGCATCCTCATGAACCATTCCATGAGTGTGTTCACCCACCAACACCACCTTCACCTGCATTACTGATAAATCTGGAGTGTTCAACATCGCCCCCATATTACGCTCTTTCACCATATGACAATTCAGCTTAACACCTGTGCAACTTTCACAGTTTTGCCTGACCATTGTGTAAACAAAACTGATTGCAGTGTAAAGTGTTCATAGCCACACGAAATAAATTCTCAGTCAGGTATTTGTGACGGAGACAGTCACAAATGTGTTTCCTTGAGACGAACACAGCCACTACAGTAACGTGTTGTCGAGGAGCGCCGGTGTGGGAGTGTCGTGGGACAGTTCGTCAGGGCCCAGCTCCTGGGAGACTGGGAGGCGTCAAGCACAAACTGGGTGGAGCGGTCCTGCTGGGTGTGGCCTTGCGCTTCTCACGCGAGAAGCTCCGTTAATGCCATTGATTGTACAATTTTATCGAAACTAAAAACTGTGATATACTTTCATATAAACATATTTTCCCTTAAGAATCAATAGAGTTTTGTTTTTCTAATGATGCGTTATATTGTGCAACTGTAAATAATAGTAATCCGGATTGTCAGTTCGGAAGACAAAGAAGAAGCTATTGGTGAAATTCGATAACCTTCAGACAGTCGCCAAGATGAGCAGGCAAGCACTGGCCGATAGTAAAAAAATATCCTGTGTGCAGCATCCAATCACAGGCCCAGGATCACGTGATCACCTCGCTGGAGCGGTATATATACAGCTCTGCTCACCAAGATTTTGTCACAGCCATCCAGCTTGCAGAAGTCTCTTGAGGAGTTCGGCTCTCACCATATTATACTCAATCAACATGAAGTTACTGGTAAGTGGCCACCTATTGTAACGGTCCTTTGAACAATAGCAATGTACTTAGAGTAAATCTTTTATGGATAGATATTTAAATTCATTAACAATGTGTTTTACCTACAGGCAACTATCTGTATGCTCGCTGTCGGCGTCAGCGCACAGGTTGGGTACTCCGGGATCGTGAGTCCCACTGGTGCCAATACTCAGTTTTCTCACGAATTCGCTGCTAACATCGTTTTGATTGGACCTTCTGGCATTGTCACCGCTAATGGAGAAAACCGACAATTGACTGCCGGTGAGGCTCAACTTCACGCCGGCGCCCACCCAGTGCCTGTACCTCATTATGTGGCCCAAAATTTTGTATACGGTCCTTCTGGCTACATCACACCCACAGGACAGAACGTTCAGTACACCCACGAGCAAGCCGCTAACATTATTCTGACAGGACCCTCAGGTATTGTCTCCAGAGATGGCAAGAACATTCAGTTCCACGGCTAGTTTGTTTCCCGCAAGAAGCGTGCCGTTATTGGTCCCTCAGGCATGATTTTGGCTTATGGCACTCCCATCCAGTTCAGCAAGCCAGGTGTCATCATCATGCTGGAAGGACCACCCTCTGGCTACATCCTCAGTGACGTGCGGCACCCCGTTCAGAAGAGGAGCTAGGAGGCAAGATTTACACTACCTGACCCAAAACTCTCTCAATGACTGTCTCGTCTGCGGGCAACATGGTTATGTCATTTGTTTATTTCTTTTGATTATATGCAATGGTGAGGCATTATTTCTTATGTACTGTACATTAGTAAAAGTTAGCTCAATAAAAATTAATGCCTTTGTGAAGATAATTTGTATTCTCATTACATCTCCTCACATTTATTTCTTATTAAACCCAGTTTCCATGAAACAATGAGCAAATAAAAAAATACAATATCCCAATCTACGTAGCAGATACTACCAATTATATATTTGAATGACTGTGCTGTACATTATGACTGGCGAACATTGTATATATTATCATATGTAAGAACAAAATATAATCTCATTTATACAATGAAATTTACATTTTGCTGAAAATTTAGTTGTTATAACTGATATAAAAAAAATTTTTACATGCTGTCTGTCAATTACCAGAGAAGTGTAATATCAAAATATACGGATTCATATTTGTAATAGCAAAGCAATTTTTGTGAGATTCTTACTCTAAATGATTTCCATCTTGTTTTGTGTAAATTGTATATTTTTCGCTTTTTAGCACTAATATGGGAAATTGAATTACTCCCAAATATTTCATTCCAATAAAGAATGAGACAGCATATGTGTCACTACCATATGTACGTTACGCCGAATAAGGATACTGGTCGATTAGCGTTAACTTCTATATATTTATCTTTTTGGGAAACTTCAGACTGGCCATAAACGATCATGCAGATCATAAAAATACATTTTAATGATAAGCTTCATACAAAACCTAACAAATACCAGACCTAACCTGACTCAACATATCGTAACCTTTCCTAACCTACTTTAGGGTATAATTTTTTTTATGTTATGATGGTAATCGACGCCTCACAGGAAACAGAACAAATTTAACCTCTTACGAATTAATTTATATTAATTTAGTGCAATA